GGGAGAGATGGAGAGGAGAAGATGAATGTTGATGATGGTGGATGATGGTGAAGATTATGATGATGATGGTAGTGGTGGGGTGATATTATAGGGAAAAGGAATTGGAAATATATGGTAGTGGGGTTGGTTTGATTGAGGATTGGAAGGGATGGGAGTGTCTCTACGTGACTTGGAGGATTTTGGGGAATCAAATTTATTTTCTTACTCCGTAATTGATAAACTGACTAAAACGGTACGCGCTTTTTCGCCCAAACTGTTCCGAATTGAAAACAAATTGTATTTTTGGAATCAGACTGTCAAAACTAGAATTTTGACGTAATTAAAATATTTTGCTGAGAACTTTTATTTTTCTCAGTGTCCGGGTCTGTCTCAGTCATAATTTAATATAATAATATGAATGAGATAAAAATATATGAATTAAATCCAAATGATAAATATGATATTGTCAAGTGTCAAAATTATGATTTCTAATCTGATGAAATCACTTTTGAATTTAGTTTATTTTATGGGTCAAAGTTACAAATTTTACTATTTAAAATTGACATAACTTGAAATCTACAAATCAGATTGGTTTATAAAATGTACCGTTGGATTCGTCTCTTCGAGACATATCCATAAATATAACTTTTTAACAAAAAGTCATTATTTTGAAAATCCATTTATTTTTAGTCAAACGTACAAATATTCTTTATTAGATAAAAACTACTATTGTTTTATAATAAATTTTAGGCCATATCTTGTGGCGTTACACTTTCTTTGCAAGAAGGCCACCGACTATTCCGGCAAAACCTTTTTTTTTATTTCGGTGGCAGAGGTGGTGTTGTTTCTTCTTGTACAGTACCGTATAACCCTTGATATTCCTTAAACAAATCCTCAAAAAGAGTTATAGCATTATCTCTTTCATTTTTCCATTATACTAAATAGCTGTAGTAATAATTATTTTTATCTAAAAAACAACCGTAGTAATACTCAATTAGAATTTTAAAATTTTCAGTCTTAAATCGTGGATCACAAATAATACCTATTTTATAAATATCAGGAATGTACAAATAATAAGTACACCATTTATCTCTCATAGGAGAGACATAATGGTACAAATCTGGATCAGCCATACTTTCACGAAAACATGTTGCGATTGTAATGCACTATTTAAAAAATGTATTTGTAGTTGGTTGGTAAACATGGGAAAAAGTAAGAGTTGCATTATTAAAAACTTCTAATACGGCATTCAAATTTTCAACAATAACAAATTCAAAAGGATTAATGATTATACGAAGTTCATCCCTAAAAAATTCAGCAAGTTCCTCTTTGTATCTTAGGATCTGTGCAATCAATTTGTAAGTACTATTCCATCTAATGTTGATATCTCTGGCAAAACTTTTTTCTTTTTTACCCTTAGACTTACAGAACATCTTCCAGGACCTCGAAATAAGACGAGCCCCCCAAATTTTTTTAATTCCTTCTTTAATATTTGTCAAAACTCCGCCCGTAGCTTCTAGTCCCTGTTGAACACATAAATTTAAAACATGACAGGCACACCGTTGATGCAGAAATCTACCCATAGTCGTAGACGGTGGGCAAATTTCTCTAAGTTTAGGAATAGCAGCAGTATTATTAGTAGCATTATCAAAACCAAATGAAAAAACTTTTTCAGATAAGTTATATTCCCGCAGAATACTCTGAAGCAATAGAAAAATATTTTTAGCAGTATGCTGATCATTGAAATCACGAAATGCAAGAACACGTTTATGCATAATCCAATCACTATCTATCCAATGACAAGTAACACCCATATAAGACAAATTATGATAAGTTTCACCCCAAATATCAGAACAAATAGCAACACGAGAATTAAAATTGAGAAAAAAATTTGCCAAATTAATTTTTTCCATTTTATACTAGCGAATAATTTCTCGTTTAATTGTTTTTCTTGAAAAACCTCGTGCTTGAGGGTTTAATGTCTATTGACAATAATCAATAAAACCAAGTTTTTCAGAAAACATGTATGGCAAATTTTCTTCACAAATCATTTCGGCCATTTTTTGCTTATTTTGCTCGTCGCTATAAGCAAAAAGGCCGCCCTTACCTCTGTTAGCAAACCGAGAAATTTGGGTTTGCACTTCTTGTCGTCCCTTCTTTTTTGCCTCATATTTGGCGTACTCCACGGGATGCCTCGACCTTAGGTGTTTTTCCGGACCGCCATAACCACCGGAAACTCCCATTTTTATGAGTGTATGGGTGGTGTGTTCTCAGCTACAAATGGTTCATTTAAAAAATATGGAACTTCTATTTTGATATATTTTCAATATTATTTTCTATTTTAGTCTTTTTTTTCTTCCTATTAAAATTAGATCAAATCTTATCAGAAATATTATTATTATCACTACCATTATTATTATTATTATTATTCTCATTATTATTATTATTATTATTATTATTATTATTATTGTAACCTACTCCCTCCGCCCCACAAAATCTTTCAAGTTTTGAAATTTAAAGAATTGTAACCTACCTTGACTTTTATTATTATTATTATTATTATTTGTTAAAATTCCGGCGGGTCGATAACAACGGATAGAGTGTCGGGTGAAATTAACCACTTGCATAAAAAGTCGGGATCCACAATTCTAACCCAAAAGCTTAAGCTGATAGGTAGGGCTTCACCCTTCAATATATGCAAGTGATATTCATCTTTATTTTCCGATGTGGGAACTCCAACATTATTATTATTATTATTATTATTATTATTATTATTATTATTATTATTATTGCAACTAGGGCTGAGTTGGGAAAATCGAAAACCACAAATTGAACTGAAACTGTTCGAAACGAGCTAGAAAAAAAACTAAACAGAAAAAATCGAAATCAAATGTAAAAAACTAAATCGAACCGCTATGGTTTGGTTTTCGTTTTGTTTTTCACTTTGAAAAATCGAACCAAACCAAATAAAACGAATTTTCATAGGTAGTTCGCTTTATTTATATAAGTATATGCGATATATAAAAAATAATAAAAAGAATAAATGCAAATAATTGACTAGTCGATTAAAGTTGTTTTCTTAACCATTAATTAAAAACTTTAAACCATATTATAAACTTTAAAAAACCTAAGAAAATAAAGACCAATGATGTTATAATTACAATGTTATATGGGTAATTTATATATTTACATTAAAAAAACTTTGATGTTATAATTGAAATGAAAGTATTATACCAAAAAATTCAAATTCTACGTGATTGATACTTACATATGATGTCTTTGAGAGTATTTAGAATCTCCTAAATGTTTGTTGGGTAGTCAACACATATTTTTTAATATAAAATTGAACCTGACGGAACACTAAGCTTACGTAAGATTTTTGGTTTTGTGTAAAAACTAAACTAAAAACCCGAACCTAACCTACATACTGCTATTTACCTGCATATTGTTATTG